TATTCATTCATGTCATTGTAACTACAGCTTACTAGAGTGTAAATTTTGATAGTGACTAAAAATACAAATCAGGGAGAAAAAGAAGGACAAAAATGTATGAAATTCAAAAGAAAGTCACTCAATAATACCTGCATTAGTAGCACTGATAGGACTATGTTATTTGTTAGCTTTTTTCAATACAGTGCAATGGTTGAGTAGCTTCACAAGGCTTCATGAAGCATAGGCCTATACCGGTATACATGTATGCCACAGAAGAACAGTCACATGAACAGTTATGACCCAGTTCCTTAATACCTAAGTCTGTACCCATCTACAGAATTTTAAAATTAGATTTTGAGTCATGTCCCCCCCCCCCCCACCCCCTTCGAAGGAGAAAAACATCTAATAGCCTGTCCAGACTAAAGGGTGCAGTCAGCCAAATTATTATGAAGGACAGAATTGGCAGATTTGCATCTATATATATGTAACAACCAGTATAACATAATATAATCTAAATCAGTGCATGCCATTTAGGCTGCGTTCATGCTTAAATTTTGAAGGCAGAATGAGCGATCTGAAACGCTCATCGTAAACGCTCATCGTGATCGCAGTTCCACGATGTAGTGTTCATGCTTACTTCTCTGGCTCCCCCAGGCAATTCTCAGTGTGTGGCCTTAATTGGTCTTCCAGCTGGATTCGCAAACCTTCACTGTGCATGCTACGTAGACCCACTAGAGGTCAGTGCGTTGACCCCATTTAAACGCGTTTACAAATTGTAAACGCATCTTTTTGTGAGTTTACGATCGGCGATCGTGATCGCCGTTTTTCGGTGATTCTACAAAAGTGAGCTAAGACGCAACCGTGTTTTAAACTAAACGCGTAACAGATGCCTGATTCTGGCCGTCAAAATCAAGCATGAACGCGCCCTTACAGACACCACACCTCAGTCTTTACAGACAGGATATAGTGGGCCAAGAATGTGGGCAAGTCAAACTTTCGGCGGCGTCATGCCGAGACCAATGCACTTTCCAGACTTGAAGTGGTATGTTTAGATGCGCAACCCGAGCAGGTAGAGGGAAGGAGAAAAAAAATGATGAAAACAGGACATGATATGGTATGGCTAGACAAAAGGAGTCGGCTGTCAATAATATACCTGGCAAGATGTAGACTGCCTCCAGGTAAAAGTGTGACCTTATTTCTTGATGGAGTCATTTGGAGAAAAAAAATTCTGTTCCAGACAGCAAACTGATAAGACTCCCTCAAGAATATCATGCGCTGAGAGCCAAGTGGGCTTTGAAACATAACTAATATGATTTTGTATTCTTGAATATACATGTATGTACAGGGTTGTTGCCTTGGCAGAGCCCCAAATGCCCTTTCATAATAACTACCGATACCATAATTCCTTTTTCATGTTTATCTTTGTTACTTCTCAGCGAAAAAAATAGAAGGGAGTGGTGCGCAATTTAGCTCTATAGCACTTGTAAATCGAAAAAGAGATCTGGTAAATAAAAACATCAAAAAAATTGAACATCATTGTGATTAAATTACACTTATACAACGTAAAATATAAAAAAATATGGGAAAAAATCCCAATGCATTTCAAGTACCGGTATTCAATTTTCCTTGGTTGTACATCAAATGAAAGATAGATTATTATTTCTATTTCATTTTATAAGTATTATAGTTTGTTTGTTTGTTTGTTTTGTGTTTGTTTGTTTGTTTTTGTTGTTTTTTTAGGGGGGGGGCAGAAATTATCTAATTTTGAGGAAGGGTTAACACAGACAGTGCTACTGCACTGGTCTACATTCATCTTCTTCTACCTTTAGCATACACAAATATGCGTAATCTAAGATATCTTTAATAGAGATAGAGTGCTGTAATAACCAGGAGCACCAGGAGTGTCAAGTCTGACAGATATATGAGCCCTATACAAGAACTCGATATTATTATTATAATTATTTATTTATTTATGTCTTATTAATCATTCGGGTTGGATGGTTATATCGTCACGTTTTTTCCTTGCTGTAGAATTGCCTTGCTGTTAGGTACCCATCCATCATTGCGCGCGATACAGATAAATATCCATCATAAAGGGTAGAATTAATTCCTGAAATATTCCACATAATTGCTAGTAATTTAACTCTGCACCATGCCACTTTCACCCACGTGTACGTGAGTAACACAGGTTTCATAACTTCAATTAAGCTGACCTATTGCAGCTCAATTCACTTTGTGAAACAAGATATCGTGCATTTCTGCACTTAATGCTGTAAATTGACGCAGATCTAAAATTATGTGACAGAATTGGGGTTTTACACTGCAATAGATGCAGAGGCAGTGAGAGAGGGAGGGAAAGGGGAATAAGAAGGAGAGAGGGAGAGGGAGAGAGGAGGAAATGTATGCGTGTGAGTGCGTGTGTGTCAGAGAGAGAGAGGGAGAGAAAAAGAGATAGCAGGTCCATGAATATTTTATCAAATCTCTAATTTTACATCAAACACATCTAGTATTGATTTTTCCCCGCTTGATGCTCCAGGCTCGGGGGTCCTTGCACGTTTTTACAGGAAATTGCTTTATTCATATTTTCTGAGAAGAAGATAGAGCCACCTACAATGTATATTTACTTTACTGAGCACACTAAACATTACTCAAAATCTTGAAATATGAATATGATCATGAAATTCTCATGATTAAAGCTTGGCTTCAGCAAGGTAATAAAGTAGTACCGGTAGCCCTTTGTCATGTAGTTCTGCTGTGGGTGAGCTACAGTAGCTCAATCTCTATCTGATAAGATAGAATTCACTGAAATATAATCATACATTTTGACAGGTTACCATTCGGTAAACCATAAATCACTTCTCCAAATCTATTCCATATTCCATATCGCTGTACCAAATCATTTTGCTGTATTAAAACAGTTTCAATTAACTGAAATCTGATCGCTAAGTCAGATTAGGGTGAAGCCCCTGACAAAATCTCCCCCTTCGGCTCAAGACCCCATCGGCAGAATGCCAGGCCACATATCAAGTCGAGGGGTTTCAAGGAGTTAAATCGATCGAGGAGGCGGATTAGAGGGTCTTGGATTAAATCAAATTTATTATCAGCATTTCCCATCACCTCTCAATCTTGAGACATCTGAGGATTAAAGTATTAACCTAAATGCCCACTCAGGAGTGACCTGCCTTGAAAAAAAAAGAAGGACTTGGAGAAAAATTGAGATTGGAGAAAGGATAATGAATGAGAGAGAGAGAGAGAGAGAGAGAGAGAGAGAGAGAGAGAGAGAGAGAGAGAGAGTAAGAGTAAGAGAGAGAGAATGGCTTGCACCAAACTTTTATCAAGTCATATCAAACATTCTCACAGCAGTACCATTTTTTCTTAAATACAATGGCTGCAAATACCATTTTTACCTGCTGTGATATTATTCTGTTTAAGAAATATATATTTTAGCCCCAAACATGAAAAAAGCTCATGGATCTTCAATACATGCAATCAAGTATATAAAATTCCATGTTCATGCAAGTATTTGGAAAATGCAAAGTGAGTACATGGAGATATGTGCAGAAAAAATGAAACTACTACGTGTACATCATGACTGTTATTGAAGGTTATAACCTCAGTCACACTGCTAGACAGACTCCATAACCACTCCAAACCAACCCAATCTTCTCCAATCAGGTACGAGTAATCTAATTGTTTGTTCAGTCTGTTGTTTATCTGCTGTAGGTGTGACTGGAGTCTGTATGCTCATTACCAAGTTAGTATTGTTTGTCCTCCTCCACAAATGCTCAATGCATCAGTGACATTTCTTAAGATTAGATACCACTCTAGCGGGATTTGTCATGGAATTTAAAAAGGAATTTTAAAAGGACCAATACAGATAACATGATCGTGCTTCAATCTCAGTAGGATTTGTGCAGCTTATAACACAGCCACCCCCCTTTTAGCCGTATAGGCCTCTAAATTTCCCTGTAGGTTATATTTCAATTTCAACATCTAAAATCATGGAAAGGAATGAAGTTCAACAGAGTTCGTTACCACAGCACAGGCTTACAACAGATCTATATGATTTTCAGTGAAACTTCAGGTTTGCATTACATGGTTTACAATGTAGTCACAAACAAGCCCTCTTGATTAACTATGCAAACACTTGACCAATGACCACATAGGGGTATGGTCAAGGTTGAACATGGTGTATGACACGCTTCAAGATTCGCGCAAGTTCACTGAATTACTGGAGTGACCACTGGACTTCAAAGAAGACATTTTCAGAGTCAACAACAATTTATACTCGCATACACAAAGTGGTTGGATATCTAATAGGTCATTCTATGTTTGCGACTGACCCTGGGTAAACGATGCATCACTTCTATGGGGAGATGTTTGATTATAAAGATTTGATGGAGTTTTTGTGAAACACATGCTTATTTTCACTTTGCCTGACCTATTTCAGCTACTTCTCCCTCTTTCAAAATATTAATCCTTTATTATAGGCACTCAACCTATACAGTCTCAAGTTACGGATAATTATAAAGGCAAGCCTGGCATAAAATGCACTTTATTTTGGAACTTCAAAGTAGCAACGACCAGATATAGGCCACACATAGCCTAGAGTGACTGACACTGGAGAGGCACCTGCCCCCATAAAAAGGGCTCTCCCACATAACTTGGCCATTATTTGAAAGTTTTAATCATCTCTTTCTGCCAGGTCATAGCAGCAGACAGATCCCTGACACTATATAAGATCTTTTCACCTTTTTAGCTGCCACTGCCAGTAAAAAAGATGCATGCTCCACAATATTTATAAAATCAGGAAGTTCACTGTAATGAACTACCAATGAAATACAACAAAATACATCCAATCTCTGTCACCTAAAATTCACTGATCCAACACTGCTTTTATTATTGGAGGGGGGGGGGGGGGCAGAGGGGGAGGCTGAAGGGGGAGGCCAGAGGGGGAGGGGGATAATGCAATAACCTTTGACCCGCTGATGTGACTTTTGACCCCTGATGTTGTTACTCACCTGATGCTTCACCTCTTGTTGCTTGAGGAACTTGAGCCTCTGTTGCTTGGCAACCAGCATCTGTTGCTGCATCTCTATCTGTTGCTGCTGACGTGAGGCCATGTCTCTCAGCTCATTCAGGTTCAGCTCTGTACTTCCCTGTATGAGTCATAAAAGAAAAGAAAAGAACGAAATGAAAGAAAATGAAACTAACTGATGGACTTGTACATGTACAGTAGTACCCCACATGTGTCTGCATCAGGTGATGATGGTTATTGTGGTTTGGCAATAGCATCATTAGTTGGAAATCCCACAGGGATATCGAAGGTTAGACAGAGTTGCTTAAACTGTATTGTTTGAGAGCTAGAAGAGCATTAACTTTGTTTAAGATAAAGACAAGTTATGGTCATGTGATTGCATTGTGAAAGAAACGTTGTGGAATCGACCAGAAAAAGTATTGGGGTGTACTGCAAGGTTCTGGAATCATCAAACTGATAAGAAATTTGGCCCAGTCTTCGTAAAGTTACAAGCACTGTACACAGAAAGATGTATATGGGACTACGCACACGTGCGCAACACATGCGTTTATCTCTCACAGTCCAATAGATAAACTAATTTACCAAATATATCAATTAGTAGGCGGTTTCCCTGCAAATTGTTATCATCATGTATTAGTCAAAGCATATTCTTTCACATGATTGGTAATAAAGAGCTTCCATTTCATTTTTTGAAATTGGGGCGTTCTCAATACTAGTCTTTACCTTTAATAAACAATGGGTTAATGCCCTTCTAGTTCTCACCAATTTGTAACTCAAAATACAGTGCACATTATTATGATGATATTCTCATTCCTGTGATCATGTCTTTAGTTCTTCCATCGATCCATAGTGTACTTGACACAAAATTTTATAAAGAATCCCATGATCTTCTGTACAACAGGATTCCCCTGAAGGCATCTCTCGCAGAACAGACAATGTCTTCTCCAAACAACGCTTGAAAACCACAAGGTCAAATGCAATTGTACAAAATGAACCGTTTATGTTTACTGCTCAAAGTGGAGGGCATATATACACAAGAGGATTTCTAAAGGTACCAAGTTTTTGCAACTCAACTGAGGAAGTTGTAAACAAGTAGGTCTAAATGCTGAACAAATTCAGCATTCGTAGATGTATATCAACGAAATATTTTTGATCCGGCAAATCACATTCCAAGAAAAGTACAGTTTTATTTTGTCACAAAATAAAACCATATTGTGCATTGGTTGTTTCTTGCTGGTATCATCACTTTGTCAGGTGTGCACTTGTTCCACGGCAAGGTCAAAACTCCATGATCTATAACCTAGTTTTGGGAAGAATACACAATTTTGTAAACATATGAACACAAGTACAAGCACAAGTAAACAGAGGCACCTCCGATACGTTTGTAACCTGGTGTGTGTGTGAACAAGAAAAGGCCATTTTAGGGAAGTTATAGAGAAAAGGGAAATATCCCTTGATGAGAAGATGCAAAAGAGGAAGGGGTATTTGTTTCACTTCCATTATGTCAATCACATAGGGGAAGCTAAACAACCAAACTAGTTATTTTCCCAAACACCTACCGTGTAAACACAGATTTTGTCTCTTGCCAGGACTGTCTTTATGTGCAGAGATAAGAAGAAAGGGTCAGAATGTGTTCCATGTAGCTAACAGGGCTTGCAGAGACTAGTATCATCTTTCAACTATCAATAAAAGGAGTGAATCTCACACATCATATAAAAGGCTATTCACAATATTCAAAGCAATGATTGCTGCGACCAAGATGTGATGATGCCCAAGTATGATCAATTGGTGACACAATCTTGGCAACTCCAAGTGGTGCAAAGATCAAAAATTTCCAAATGTCCTACATGTACATGTATGTAGCTCCTAAAGAATGAAATATGATACCGGTAGATACACTGAGAGAGAGAGAGAGAGAGAGAGAGAGAGAGAGAGAGAGGGGGGGGGGGGGGAGAATCAGGCAGAATTCCATGTAAACAAATGAAGACAGCTGACACCTCGTGACCTGACATGACCCCTGCAGGGGCAGCAGCAGACAATCTAAATCCCTTTTTTGTATGGATCACCCCTGACTAGAAGTGTGATCCACAGCCTTTTCACACACAGCTAAAATTCTATAAACATGACTAGTATAAACGTGTTTCGAACGTGTTTAAACTAATCACGAGCCTTTCACACACAGAAATTTCGGTGCGATCGTTAATTGTTTCGTGATTAACTACTGCTCGTAAAATGCGCAGTAGTGCCATTGTGCATTGAAGGTCATGTCATGTCAATCAAAGCGCACGCTCCATCCAGTTTAAACACGTTTAAACAAGAATTTCCTTTCACACACAAAATGTCAAGCTCTCTAGATACGAACTTCGTATCTGCAGCCTGCTTTTAGGGGCGTATGGATCGCGACTTCGTATCTATCCCAACATCGTATAAACGATGTTCACACTGGGAAATTTTGTCTATAAACATGTTTAAAATTTTACGATGATTCTAATCATCACTAGATACGATGAATTTTAGCTGTGTGTGAAAAGGCTGCCAGTCGTCTTTGACACAGCTCAACTGCTGCTGCTGTTACTCCCAGGAGAGATGCACACTCTGGAGGATTTCACACGACCCTTGCTACACACATACACCTCGACTTATGCAAGTACATAACATACAGTATATCAGATGGGTACGCGAGGGGGGGGGGTTTTGGGTTAACCCCCCCCCCCCCTCAATTTTTTTTCTTTTGCTCTAGAGTGGGGGGGGGGGGGGGGGTTGTGTTGAGTTTTATTTTAAAGTGCTCTCACTACCCCCCCCCCCACCTCCAATGAGCGAAATATCGGGCAGCGCGATTTTCAAATTTGCAAAAACACCCCTCGAAAAAATTCTACGTATGCCACTGCAGTATATAAAGATTATAAGAATCTCGCTATACTGTATCAAAATCTGATGTTCAAAAGACAAACGGAACACACTAATCAGATTATATCAACACGACAAGAAAAAGCACAGATTCAAAGCGTTTCATCCTCATGTTATGCTCATATATACGCCAAAGGTTCAAGGAAAAGGCCGGGTTTGCCCTTTCATGAATGCGATCATTAGCGTCAATAACAAAAATCAAGAACACCAATCCTTCACATTCTAGATATGCACATTTCTGCTCCATTAGCCATGACTAAGGATTGGCAAGACATGAAAAGTTACTTGATCTATGATTGACAAGACAAAAGAACTTATATCGAACATCCTTGCCCTAGGAATTTCGCTTGCACATTACACCAATAAATGGTTATTTTCAGTTGTATCTTTCACCATTCTATGCAGGAGAGAACTTTTCTGAGAAACAGCCTCCATGTTAGGCAGCAACCCACGCTCATAGGCTTACGTTTCATTCTAATGGCTCTTCTTGCATTACGGCGCTGTTCTAGATACCAAGGTCTACACATGCAGAATACAGCAGCAAACGACATGAAAATCAGAGCATTAGGAGGCTTAAGCGAATCGCGCGTTCTCTTCTTTCTCACACCTCGAAAAAAATCTGGCAAAGTGGCTCTCAGCTTACCATATTAGCTGGCATAATACAGTCATCTAGGCACCGGAGCTATAGAGTAATCAAAGAAGCACTACCTCTTTGCTGTAATTGAGAGCTCTGTAAGCGCTCGTCTTAAGCGCTGGAGATGTGGGTTGAGAAATGAGGGAGGTCTGGATGGCAGCGCTGCGACCGCGCTGGAATAATGCTATTGTTGTGAGAAGGAAGCAGGAAAGAGGAAGAGCGGGGGGGGGGGGGGAACAGGTCGATTCAGAGCGTGGGGTGGTTGTTGACTTTTAAGAGGGAGATGGGTCAGAGCCTTTAAGACTTCCAACTATGAGGAAGGTGGATGCATGGATGGATGCATGGAAAAGAACAATATCAAATATATGAATTAAGGCCCATTCAGGCGCAAGGCAGAAGACTGCTAAATAAAAGGCCATAATGAAATTCAATATATTTTGTGTAGAGTGTTACTTTATCTTATCACACACTGATATAGAGTCATTTTCACAGGCACCTACCCGAGAATTTCCCAATATATTGCCTACTGCTAGCATGAAATGTCCCCAAACTGCCATTATTTAAGGGTGATTCTATTCTATTTTATGTCCTGTACGTCTTTCATCTGATTATTTCATTTAAAAAATGGACAATTTCTTCATAATCATCATTTAATAATGCAAGTCCTACCTGGGAAAAAACCATTAGTCAATGGTCAAACACCACAGAATTTTAATTTTTGGATGAAATAAATGGATAAAAGTCATTCATGTATATCGGAAGAGATATTGCACGCGATCATCCCGAGGTGGTATACAACATAGTGTCTGAACAAGGCTTTAAATGGCTAGAGGGATACCTACTATATTTTATACACAGAAAGGGAGGGCCTATACGGCCACTTGCGCGCTATCCACATTATAAGCTCAGTACAGGAACAGATGCTGCTACACTGGCCAGTGAGATGAGTCATAGGACGAAGATGGGTAGATTAGTAGCCTAGTAGGAATGGGTGTGAAGAGCTAGATTGGATAGCGGGGGCAGGTAATGAGAGACGGCAACAAGAGGACAGAATGATCAATACTGGAGAAAAACAAGATTGCAGAAAGATAAATGGAGATGGAATTGAAAATGGAAGTAGGACAGCAATCTAGGAGAAGTGGGCTAGTAATCGGTAACAAATAATATCCTTGGATTCAGAGGAGAGAAACCATAGAAGGATGGTAAGGACAAGGAGTGCAGAAGATAGGAAACATGAGAAGAGAGCAAGATCAAGAAAATACAAGAGTAGATGAAGCAGAGAAGAAAAAAGATAAGAAAAAAGAAAAATGAATTGGGAAAAGAAATATATAGATATCAATATAAGCACAAGATAAACAAAGATCTTTATTACATAGGAGTAGGGAAGCAGTGAGTGTGATCGTAAGTCCTCTCAAATCCTAAAGGAAATACTGCATTGAACTAGAAGAAATCAGATCACAAGCGGCGTTGATAACCACAATCACCTTTTTACCGAAACAAAATTGACTGAAGAAGTAGAAGTAGTATCTTCAAAATTATAGTCTGTTTTGGTAGAACTTCGTCATGGTTGTTCTTTTTTA